AAGGACATCCAGCACTATCTCGACGTATCAATGATGTATGAATATGTTTACAGTCACTATTTGCATAATATCGTTTTGTGATACAAAATCAGCAGGAAGGCGCATTAATTGATGAATGAATTACCTCAAAAAATGTGCATCGTTAAACATTATCTTTGATACTGGTTTAGGGCCAAAGGGCAAGCAGCAACGGCGCTGACATTTGTAAAAGTCAAATATTATTTATTCTCTCAACAGTGACTAAGTTTTACAGTCATATTTTTCCATCATCGCGAGCTTTCTTGACGATAGGCCTGTTATCAGAGGATAACCATTTTCGCTGCGCGCTATTTAGGAAGCCTGTGCGATGAGTGATTTACAATCACAAGATGGTTCAAGCATTTTACAATGAAATCTGACCCACATTACAGTCAAATATCATAAATCCTGATTACTTTGTTCTTTAAGCTGTGTTAATCTAAGATAACGATGAGAAACAACAACACCTATGTATGTAAATAACAAAAATGTTTATTTTATTTATTGTTTTTAAAGCTACTGGGTTAAAAGTGCAGAAAAAGAAAATGAAATGACTCAAGGAAATGACCTGACATCGTTCAACATTGTGCTCAGATCAGGTGACAACGCGTGGAAAAAACTTAATTTTTCTTTGTGATCTGCGAAGGTCCACAAAATTATTTTTTCTCTACGAATTCTAGCAGAGACAGTGTTGAAAACTTTCCGGCATTCATAGTGAACTCCCAACCTATCCCAAACTGAATTTTATTGTGTACTGCGCCGCAATCGTGCTCCTGGATGCCTCAGGTCTATTCAGGCCACTCAGACTACCATGTTATTTAGCGTTTGCAGTGTTTTGATGTCTCTTAAATTATTTCACATAATCTACAACAATACGTTGTTTGACACAAATGACGTTTCATACGCGCCACAACATAGACGCATTTGGGAAATATCCAAAAATGTGGGTTAAATTCCAGCGGGAGTAACCTAATAATCACCCTACGCTTATAAGAACAACAAGAAGGGTGGTCTAATAACGTCGTATTATTATATTTTGTGGAGAATGCACATATTAACATACTCCATCATACGAACCAATACTTTAATTCACCACTGTCGTGCCATAATAAATGTTTGGCAGCTCTTTCAGAGATCGTGCTTGACCTTTCTTTTTAGTTATTTTTGAAAAATGTAACAGGCTATTTTAATATTATTCATTCCGCATGATTTTGATTTCTCAGCTCAGTCATTTTGTAAGTTTATCATTCTGAACCACTGTATACACTACCTAATATGATATTATCATTACGACACTGATCAATCAATGTCTCACCTGTCGTTGCTGGACAAAATATACTTTTCCAAACGAGATGGATAATCGAAGAGCATTCGTGGCACTTCATTTTGATGAGTTCCTGATTTTTCATAGCTGAAGTGTTAAAAGGGCATATCAGCAATAACGCAATTTTATATTTACAACTAAAAACGTTGGCTATCGCGTTGGTACGAAAGACGAAAGCGCAGGCACAAACCACTAATACAGCATGCCTGGCTGACAACAGCGTTATTGTTAATGGAAAAGAGCGGACACTTAAATATCAAGAATTGAGAAAGGAAATACAAAAGAACTGAAGAGTACAGGCCAAAGTCATTTCTCTTATGACCAGTGTTCTCAGATCAATACAGAGAAATCATTACCACTAAATAATGTCAAAAGATGAAACGATTAAAGTGGATAGACTGCTAGGATTAGTATGAATTTCAGGAATAGTGCTGCAGCTCATTATCCATTTGTAGAGGGTTCGAGTTGAAATGATGCTCATGCAACTCATGTTATATTTCTTGGAGAATGATTGAAATAATATAAGCTACAAATAAAGATATAAAGTGCACTGAAAGTTGTTGATTTTAACTGTTGTCTGCAATAACCGCTTGAGTTGATATCAAAATGAAAGTTTCTTCTGTTTATTGAAAATGTAAAATTGAAGTTCTTGACATCCTATGACCTCATGTTTCTCATTTTCTACTGTATTCACAAAGGAACAATGATTCAGACAGGCAAATCACCAACCGAAGTTTTAGGGATGAAATACGGTAAGGTGTGTTCTGCCTAAAAGCTATGACAGTCACTTCGGCTAGTCTTTGACGAGAAAACACGCTGATAGTAAAGTGAAGATGGTTGAAAATTGCTGTCTGAAAGAAAAGAGCTTTGATCATCAACATGAAGAAGATTTACACTCTCATTTGTACTCATCAGAACAGCACAGCTTCAGATAGCCAGTAAACGTCGCGTGATAAACATTGTTTTAATTGGCGCTAATATTACAGTAAGCTAGGCCGTTAGTACTTAAAGCCTATATTAATAGTTTTGCCAAAAAACTTCTTCCAGTTGGCATCACGATCTCACATTGAACTGAACTTGTGATGACATTAATTTGACTGAAATGTAGCCATTACTCCGGAAGCAATTAGTTTGACGCAGTAAGCACAAGGCGTGAAGGTGGTTTTTGTTTTCGTTGCAAATTTCCCAAACTTGGAATTTGACTTTACTTGCTCCTATGGAGCCAGAGTGGCATGACAATGGCAAATAAACAACATGAATATGATAATGCCAGAGTTCGAAAGACTGATAATCAGGCTGTTTAATGCGCTTTGACTCATCCAATATTTTACGTGACTCATGCAGACTACAACTCATGAGTCGATTCAAGCAAGAATCATTAGTGATAGAAAAAAAGTATATATATGCCACAAAATACAATATGCTATAATAACTTCTGCCATTAAAAATTTATGCTCTAAGGAGCTCGTTCAGACATCATGTACACACTGATAGATAATACGGTAATTTTTTTAGAGACATACAATAGCACCTATTATTAAAACTGTGGTACAAAAAAATAAAGACTTACTATTCCACTGCTGCTTCCCACTCCTCACTGGACTGCAGATGTTTTGCATACGCGTAATAAGTATTCTTCAAGTGTATGCGGTCATATTTTTCTGCTATTTCAATTGCCTACATTGAAAATTTGTTTGCAGTTTCACAGATCGATTATATTGCATCTAACATAGAAGCAGTGGAAAAGAAAATGTCTTTGGAAAAATACTGGAATCTTTTTGGTTCAAGTTAGCTTCAAAGGTCAATACAAATTTATGCCTTTAGATGTCCACCAGCAGTATGATGGAGTGTATATTCCTGAGTCACTACCACAGCGGTGAAGGTTGTACTGTGAATGAGTAGTTTAATCAGGAAATGGTACCCGGCTATTAAGAAGAGCCGGCAGGTGATCAGTAATGATCACTTCAAACTGTACCATGCTGAATGCTAATTGAAAATTGTCATAATGCCATTTACCATCTAAGAAAATGATGACCATTCATGGCAAGGCGACAAACAAATCTGGACAACGCATTATGATGGCATAACATAATTTCAGTGGTGATTAGGAGTGAATAATAAGATTGGGGTCATCATCCTGATATTCCATTATCACTGATTATAGTACTTCAAAGCCAATTTAAATTCGCTAATGAAGTCATGAAACTTCCTCAAGTATTCTTACTTTGGTCCAGTCATTTCGAGCTTGATATAACCGGTTGAGAACATCGTAGCGTTGACACTCGGTTAGTAGTTTCACTGCGTGGTCCTTCAACAGGCAAACACAGAATTGACAACTCTGAAGAATTGAATCGTTACTATCATTTCTAGTTGCACTGCTAATTCAGCCAAGTGAAGTTTTGGCTGCTTTTCCTTCAGCATACTCTGCTGCACTGCCCTAGCAGCCATAGCATTTTGCATCTTTCCTAAGCACAGCATGACCATGTCGAGGCGTTCCGTTATCACGCACATTCTTGCCAGGCTCATCCAAACCGCTTTGCTAAATATATGATTATTTTAAACACAAATTATTGATTTGCGTTGAATCTCTTAGTAAACCGGTGAGTACAACTCTCA